AAGCAATTACATCTGTCCACTCATTGCTAAACTTCACAAAGTGTAATGGAAGAAGATGCGGCGTTTTCAAGGGTATCTTACGCAGCCTCATTTACAAAACGGGAAGCAAAGACACCTCTTATAAGGAAATAGGGCTTATAAGTGTTTCATGAGTTCGACTAAAAGACGCGGTAGACAGAATACTCCCTGAGAAAGAAATGTTGTTTTATTTACGCTATTGTCCTGTTTAAGTTAGCCAACGTTTGGTGAAAATCGAGCGCGCGACTTAAAAACACCTGAAAAATGCGAAATTGGCTGAGTTGCCTAATCTTAGGCAGTTGGCAAACCGAAATCAATCCAAAAAGATAAAAAGTTCTATGAGAGAAAATTATGCCTATTGTAATCAAAACAGAATCAGAACACATAAAAAGCCATATAAAAAGAAGAAGGCTAACGAAAAGCAAAAATAATATCATTAAAAAGACAGTTAATGCAAGTAATCAGTCAGCATGTTATTCGATATGCCCGTCTTTGAAGGCTGACAACGGTGGACCCCGCGACACATGTTACTACTGGCATTTTTATCTTAGAAATCAGTGTAGGACCCATTATGCTAATCTTTGAACACTCATCTTAGTCCTAGCCTTTAGTCCTAACCTTGACACCCTGATCCTATCTCCAACCTTAATTCTTAAAATTACCCTAAAAATCTAATCCTAACCATTACCTTTAAGCGTTACTCATAAAACTTGCCCTAACTGTAAAACTCTAACCACAAACTTCAACTTATAAGCATAATCCTAATGCCCTTGTCCTGACCATCAAACCTTAACTCGTATCCTAACTGAAAATCCCTAACCTTAAATTTCTGTTCCTAAAACACTAGCCCTAACACTGGTCTTTAAACCCTAACTACAACCCTGAACTTAAGGCCTTGATCCTAAAACCCTAACGCCAATACTAACCCCCAGCCTTAAACCCGAGATTCATTTTCTAACCTTAGTCCTAAAAGCCTAGGTCTGAAAACCGAACACTAGCCCAAACCCTACGAACAAGCACAAACACTGAAATTAAAACCCCAGACCCAACCTTAAACCTCAAGTCGCAACACTGAAACCCTGAACTTGTATATAAACCTTCAGACCTTAGCATTAATCCTAGCTTTAAAATCCTAAGCCCTTATCCCCGCCTTAGATGCGTGTACTCAAAATTAACTAATTCCAGTCACGAGCACAATAACGCTCACCTTACCGAGACGTGCCTACCAAAACAAATTAAGTAGTCAAGCTTCACACCACCGATTAGGTTGGACTACATACGATATATTCGACGCGGCATTTTTTGAAGATAGAAAGTCTTATCTCTGCACAAATTATCACGTTGTGATTTTTATTACCTAAGGGGAAGAACGAGGAATTTACCCAAAGTATGCTTGTATCGCTAGCTGTGTTCTTGACTGAAAAAACCAGCTATGTCAGAAATGTGGTTTCTGGTGAAAATTGTGCTGCCGAATGCATTCGGACTGCTCCCAATCGACAAATCAAGCAGGTCCAATCAACGCGTCTTTGTGCGGCTAGTTCACTGAACGTTTGGGTAAGATCTGCCTCGACAGTTTTCTAAAATTCTTTACAGCACCCCTCAGGCCGGAATTTTATTTTTAACCTGATACCATGTCCAGCTTAAACCAACATTTCTGAAGGTAGATAAAAACCCTTGGATACGGATTTAGGTAAACGGCATTACTTACTGACGTTGCCATAACTTCAGACATGAAATAGCACCCCAGAAGACTCTATGGTAGGTTGGCCCTGCTTCGGAGATTTCTCAGACAGGTAGTTCTATAAAATTCGCCAATTTGAATGATTCATAATGCTATGACACCGGCCAAGTCATATAAGAAGTTGAGTACTGTCCTTCGGCAAGCGCCACTAGAAGACATTGCGGAAATCAATTTGTTGAACAAACGTACGTTTTTGATGATTTCTCGTTGTGGCAGTTCGTCATCCGTCACCAATGATGCTTTCCAATGCTTTGAGAATGCAGTGGTGACATGCAATTTACGTTTACACCGTTAGGGAGATATTCGTGTAAGCTAGCTTATTTCCTCCAAGGCACCACCTTCTAACTGCAAGATATGACCAACTGGTCAAAACCGCGTCTGCAATCCGTGACCGACCTCATGAAATGTAAGTCGGAATTCCGAAACGCGTTTATGACTAGGGAGGATTACTTCGGTGGGGTTGAATTACTGATTATCGTGTGGCATAATCCCATGACCTTTCAAGCACGCTAGGATGTCGGCTTTTGAAGGTATTTTTTATCGGTTGCCAGCAAAAACCAGACTCGGTAAATAAACGACTACTTCACTAGCATGCATTTTTTCTATTGATTTGTGGCGTGTGTACCACTCCGCTGAAACCACCGAAATGATCACTCAGAGGCAAAATGAAAGATTAGAATATATAAGGACATTAAAGGTCAACTAAAAATGCTCGCTACTTAAGTAGTATGATCTTGGCAGGCTGCAAAAGGGAGTGCATTCAAAAGTCGACATCCTAATGTGTCTGAAAGATCGCGAGACTGTGCGCACGATAGTCAGTGATGCAAATCCGCCTAGGTGATTCTTCTTAATTAAAAAAGTACTTTAGAATATCGGAATTTCATGACATCGGTCACTGACTCACACAACACGCGGTGATACCTAGACACATGCCTCGAATACCGCGGATCGCGACAGGCAGCCAATGCAGCCGTTTTGCAGTCCGCAAGGGGATCCAGCAAATTTGTTTGCTTGTACTACAGTTTATGGAGGGCCATTTTTCAGCCGCATCGAAATTTATAATAGGAAGGAAGGAGGGCTTCATCAGCCTCCATGTCTCCATCCTTGGCCCTCGTACACCAGATGCGAGTTCGCGTTAGTCCGACTGAAGACGTGTTCGCGGGCATTGGCTGCGGCGCCAAACCCGCGGTTTACGCGGGCGTCGCTGGACCCTACCCAAACCCTGGTCAATTTCGTTCACGTTGTCATCAAGGTGACAGTTGTCATAAGAGTCACACTTGGCTCCATGGGAGCCTAATCCTCAGCGCCGAAGACTGGTGGCTTTCCTGGCAAATTGGCAGTCTCTCATGCTCAGCACTTCAGCATGACATGATAATCCACAAAGTGTCGGAGTTCGTATGTCCAGCT